AGGCGTGAAGAAGCAACATGCAGGCCGGCAGGGTGAGGATGGCTGGTGTTGTAGGTCGAACTGTTGTATTTTCGCGTCTGGACTACACCGTCACTTAACATCAGGTAGGGTAGAATCATTTGTCCAAACTATATATATAAAAAGGCCGCCAGCTCATAGCAGCGAGATCTTGGCCGAGTCGTAAATAGACATAGTGTCTAGACTAGACGATGACTTCAGTATACGCGGCGACGTCATATAGAAACCTCAAAGACAAAACGCCTCTCTAGTTAACCATAACGGCAGCGCCATGATGTGGGCTTTCCTATCAAATATGATATCCTTAAGCATTTGCTTAGCTCGCGGTACTGTCACCGTGGTGAAATATATTCTAACGAGGTAAAGTACAAGTAATACTTGCGTTAAAATTATACATTGCTCTCGCAATCACACCTCAACGTCGTAAAATTTTCGAGGACTTAGGCCAAATTGTTTTATCTATAGTTAAATTTCACCATAGTTAAAAATTAAAATACTAGACATAAAATAAACATTTGTCAAAATTTTAAACATTTACTTTCGTATTTGACGTGACATTAAAAAGACGTTATTTAACTATAGATGAAACATCGCGGCCTAAGATGTTGACCAGAAATACTGATATGTTGCTGATCTATTGCCCGCAACAGTTCCCAAGTACAAACTATCTACATAGGAAAATTAGTAGTCAAAAGCCTTGAGCTTTGTGAGTGTTGCTCAATCCCAGTTCAACATGAAAGCACTAACTTCATCAATTTACTTTAAAAAGACTGCAAAAGTATTTCTGACAGCTCTCTGTGCAGTGCCTGCCTGGAGGACGAGGAGACGAGCGCCCATGTGCTGCTGGTGTGCAGGGGCGTTGCAAGACAAAGAACTTCTCTAATGGGAAGCCCGAAGACAATAGAAGAGGCCTGCAGCAACATTCGGGGACTGCTGAGCTTTCTGGAAGAGCTGGGATGGCAGGACTGCTGCCAATCCCCATGCAAAATAGGCACTGGGTGTCGAGTTGAAGAAACAGCCCGCCGTTATACTAAGACTACTTTAAAAAAACAATATATTTACATAATACATACTATAATTATATGATAAATATGAGTTTTGAAATAGCACAGGTTTTTTGAGCACTTAGCAGATGGACTAAATTCAACCTTTCAAGTTCTTCCACAAGTGCATATTTTAATAAGACTCGCCTCATACGTCATCAAAATATATCAATAATATGAAATTATGCAATCGTTTTTAACAGCTGAATACACATTTAAGTGACTGTTTAATAAATTATCCTAATTTAATTATCATGATGATGATGCTGACAACTCCATCACAATCAAATAATTATTAATATACAGAATGTATTACTTCTCTTCAAGAGCAAAAGAGGTGCAGGCTAGAAGGTTATTTTACAATAAACATATTTATTACCATTGATTTGGTGGCACATTTGCAATGAACAATTTGCGTGTAGAGCTCAAGGTGGCATTAAAGACTGCTGCAGGACTGGGACAGATGCAGCGACACCTTTTATCTTCATAAAACTGCCCTCTGCTTCCCTGAAAGATAATTATATGAAATTCATTAATGAATACCACCATACTTTCCTTGCATAAATTGATGTGTGGCAGATATAATAATTGTGGTGTTTCTGAAAGTAAGCAAATCAATAAATAGTTTTATTTATTTTTCCACAGTTTTGCCTAATGTTATACATCTTCAAGGAACAGGGCTTTCTAAGATTTGATTTTAAAATGTGTCTTATAGTATGTTATTCCTTAGCTCTCCTAACTCTACTACTAACACCCCTGAAGAATTGGTTTGTTTTGGAGATTTACCTACCCATTTTACTTTTCCTAGAACCTGACAGATCCAGATGTTTGACACAGATACTGCTTCCCATTTTCAACTCAGAGCACATAAAAACAGTTTAGAGGTAATGCAGATTAGTACTACAAGGGGTACAATATAACAGATTTGGTTCTGCCACTAATTAGAATCTATCTTATTAGAAGTTTAGTTTAAGGTTCCTAGATATTAAATAATATTTTTATTATTAATTGAAAAGAGGTACAGGCCATTCTACATTCTACAGGCTGAGTTTGGTATTGATTGAAAGAGGAGATCAATCTCTTTCAATCAAAACCACTGTGAATCCCTAACTTCAGTAGTTCTATCCCGAAGTTTATACCCAATGATGTAATGCCAACAACAACTCGCTTAATTACTTAGTTTTTAAATAGCACTTTTATTTATTTATTTATTTAGAGAAAATCAACAGTGTTACAAATAGTACTTCTATAACTAATATAAATTACGGTAAGACCAATTACAGGTTTTCTTTTATACTCAATAATAGGTGTTATATTAAACAAAACAACAACTGCACAAAAACATCAGCATCGCCAAGTCCTTTAGTTTAACAGAGACAAAGTAAAAACAATAAGCAAAATAGCAGCAAGGTTTCCATCATTAGTCTATAGTAATAACAACGACAGATTGCAAGAACCCATCAAGCGACCAGGGCCGGGCGATGAGAAACCAAACACACATTTACAATATAATTATAATTGATTTCTCACCAGCCGACACCCACCAACCAACGGGTCCCCCAACCAGCCGTAGGCACAAACGGAACCAGAAACGGAACTAAAATTTGGTCACTATACCTAGTGCACAGTGCATCAGATAGGCATCAATTCGGAAGTTATTGCCCTCTTAAAAGTTGTCTTAGAGAGTAAAACAATATCATATTCACTAAAGTGGATGTTATAAGTCATAGGAAGTCGTGCCAATGGGCTGTTTCTAGCATAGTCTGTGGAACATGGAGGAACGTGAAGTAAAGGTGTGTGTCGTGTACGATGTTCAGGCGTACGATACTTAATACTCTCAACAAGATCAATGCAGTCTATCTGTCTGTTAACAATGTCATAGAGGAGACTCATATCTAGCAGATTGCGACAGTCCTTGAGATTAAGAATATTATAATTTTGACACGCATCTTGATACGACTCAAAAGGCTTACGGAAGCGATAATTCAGATGTTTAATGAACTTTTTTTGGATTTTTTCTAGACGATTTATATAAATAATATATTGAGGCGACCATACTGCACTAGCATACTCAAGTACACTACGATAATAAGCAAAATAAACTGACTTGAATGTGAATAAGTTATTAAATGGTTTGCACTTTGAATTAGGTTTTGTTCCTTTGTAAAACTGTAATGATTTTGTATTAGTAAACCTATTAGACTTTCAGTTTGCTTCAATTTATGGTGGCATATGTTTTATATTAAAGATTGAAACAAGAAAGTAGAGTAGTTTAACTTTTGACTTACCAAAATACACAGACATAACACGAATAATTTTGATGGCATTGCCATGTATAGAGACATGATTTAATACTGTTCATTAATATTCTTCATCTGAATAAAACCTGCTGGAACAATAATTTCTAAGAGTGAATGTTAATTGAAACAACTACCATTGACATCATGCTTTATGCACCACGTAGGACAAGCAGCAAAGCTGGTGTACACATATTTTTTGTCACAGCTGATATTTATTTTTCATGTTATACTCGAGAATGGAAATAGGGAATTGATATGCATGAATTGACATATTGACAATAACACTGACAGATAAGGTGACACATATTGACAGACTTTTTTAAACATAAGTTTGTCTAAACTGAAAGCAAAGGATGCTTTGTTTATATCACCTAGTATTCAATACTTTCTCACTCTTCATTGAGAGTTCCTTGAGTTTTGCAGACTACAAATTAACATAATGTGTTTAATTTTCATCCTGATGTCTTAGCCAAATTTTAATAATGAAAAAAAAATGGTTGCCTGTAAAGTCGGTTTTACGGGCGAAGATTTTACGTGACAACGTCTTTTTCTCGGTAGAATATTTATTGATATGAATATAATTAAATTGCACAATAGGAACAAGGAATTGAATGAAAATAAGAATTGCACAAATTTTAACTATAGAAATATATTTTGTTTACTAAAACATTGTACATGTAAACTTAAACTTAACACGAGAGACTCATCGTAACGTTACCGAGCGTTACACTTTTTCATAAGTGACTCCCAGCCGCAACCTAATTTAAGACGTTGTCACGTCAAAAAAATATTTACCCAAAATCAAACGCTTCATTATAATGAGCGTTTTCCATTTAGAAAAAAAAATGGTTGCCTGTAAAGTCGGTTTTACGGGCGAAGATTTTACGTGACAACGTCTTTTTCTCGGTAGAATATTTATTGATATGAATATAATTAAATTGCACAATAGGAACAAGGAATTGAATGAAAATAAGAATTGCACAAATTTTAACTATAGAAATATATTTTGTTTACTAAAACATTGTACATGTAAACTTAAACTTAACACGAGAGACTCATCGTAACGTTACCGAGCGTTACACTTTTTCATAAGTGACTCCCAGCCGCAACCTAATTTAAGACGTTGTCACGTCAAAAAGTCGACACTGTGTTGCACTGTGTCGACTTTTTAACTATAGCAAAAACCTAATGCCAACTAAAGCTTGGTAACTTCAATACTTTTCATTGGTAACAGTAAGGTAACGGTGTTACCAATGAAAAGTATTGAAGTTACCAAGTTTTAGTTGGCATTAGGTTTTTGCTTTAGTATCGTCGACACAGTGCAACACAGTGTCGACTTTTTTTTCTAAATAGAAAACGCTCAATAAAAACATTTAGGCCCGTATTACAGAATGACATTACTTGAGTACAGTTAGAAAGGGATGTCGCTATGTTATATATATAGCGACATTACTAAGAATCTTTCTTTAATACGGGCCTTAGACATGTTAGATAAAAATCAAGTGGGCTTTCAGTCTTCTGTTTCTTTCAAGTAGGTAGTCAACGCTTCAATAAAGAAAAATAAGACAAGTCACCCTAATTTTTCTTAGCCTTCGTAAAAGCGCTATTAACAAAGCAAAACAAGAAAAGAATCGTCTATGGTTCACGGCTGCTGACGGATCATGTTTTGAAGTGGGCAAAAATTGAATGTGTTATTTTTGTGATGAGTGTTCGTATTAATTGTAAGGTAAATTTTTGTAATTATTATTAAAAACAAACTATTATATTTCTTGTTCCTTAAGGCTACGTTGAATTTGAGTTTCGCTGCGTCTAGAACCTACACAAAGATTGCCTAGGTGGCAACTTTTGATGTCACAATTTTAGATTAACTTCTTTATTTTCGTTTCCTTTTTCCATTTACACTGCTGTTAATACAAGAATGGTTGATACAAGATGTAGTAAGTTGAATAAGAAATGCATTAATCTTATATGTGAACATAACTGGCTTAGAATAACTATGAAAATTTGTGTATTGCCAAGATAATCAAAGCATCTCTTCAATAAGTACAAATTATTCTATGAACTTAACTATACGATACGATAAAGTGTTAGAACAGGTATTTTATACTTGCATTTTTATTTGAAATGTATTTAGGAGTAAAAATAATAATAAATAGTTTTACTTATAATAAATTCTATTCTATTCTATTTTTGTAAAGGCTGGCTGTTCTCTCCTTAGACAATTCCGCCAATGTCAGGGTTGAGTACTACAGATGATCAGTTTTTTTTTCCAGTTTTACGCATCTTTCACTATTGGCCGGTTGAGTGACCTAAAAGGGTTATATAAAAAGGTTATAGACAACACAATGACAAACACAACAGTTACAGATAAAAGCGTTAGTAATAAATGGGAGTTTAAAAGTTACAATTTAATTTTATTGGTGTGTATATACTTGGCAAGGACTTGGATGAAGGGAGAGTCCACCATGGTTAGTAAGTGGTTTACATTCACAGGGCGGGCGATTTTTAGGCAGTATATCATAAGAAGAGATGGTATTTTTTAGGCAATTGAAAAATATGTGATCGACGTTTCTTTCGTCAAGACCACATTTGCATAACGATTGGTCCCTAACCCTAATTTTCTTTAAGAAGACTGGGAGCATATGTGACCAAGACGTAAGCGAATAATGGTAGAAGTGGAGATTTTATCCAAGAAGCGGTATTTAAAAAACCACGGCTTAGAGGGAAGAAACTTCTACAGAAGGCTGCAGACTTCTATAATGTTTCCCGTTAAACTGTGAGGAGTCGTCCCAGTGTGCTGACCATTCGCAATATGATTCAGCTTTAGCTTTACTTCTTAGATCTTGGGCAAAGCATTTATCATAGATTGGGCAACCCATCGTTACAGCCTCTTTTGCAAGGCTGTCTGCCTTTTCGTTACCTTTAATGCCAGAATGACCAGGGATCCATGAGAGGGCCACATTTATATTTTGAGAACGGCAGTTAAACAGAAGTTCTCGGATTTTTAGAGTTATATAAAAATTTTGCCTGGCATGTAAAGGGAATTTTAAAATATCATCTAAAACACTTCGGGAGTCTGTGAAAACTATTGATTTGTTAAGTTTTTCAGAATGGACTTTAATATATTTAATAGCTTCATATAAAGCAATGGCTTCTCCTGAAAAGGAGGACAGTTCTGGACGGCATTTAAAGCTTAAGATTATTTGAAAGCGAGGGATCCAAACAGCAGCACCTACAGCTTCTCCATTAGTGATTTTAGAGGCGTCGGTAAAAATCGGGGTCCAGTCAGTCCATTCTTCTGCGATAGTTTTGTTAAAAATTCTGTCGGCGCCAGGTTCGTTTTTGTTAATATTAAAAAAGGTTAAAATGTTTGGTTCGAATATTAGTGTCTCATAATTTACATTTAATGTTGGGTTTCCGGGAAATTGTGCCATAGGGGACCATTGACCAACTTTTCGTAACTGTTAGCTAAGCGGGCAGGGGTTTTATGTATCCAGTATTTAGAATTAGTAATGAGATTGGAAAGCTGACAAAGTCGAGAAAGCAGTGGGTGGTTAGAGTTTTCAGCAATTTTAAACAGGTATCGATCTGACAATAATTGTCTACGGATATTAAGAGGAGGATCCCCCGTTTCTACCTGTAGGGCATTTGTCAGAGACGATCTCATTGCACCTGCGATTATGCGGAGACACCTAGACTGTATTTTGTCCAAGGAAGAAAGGGAAGTCTTATTGCAGGGTTCGAGTAAGAAGGTACAGTAATCAAAATAACTTCGAACTATTGCGTTGTACAGAAGTTTTTGGCAGTATGGATGAGAACCCCACCAGATACCTGAGAGGGCTCTGAGGACATTAATGCTTTTCTCACATTTATTATTGATATAATTGAGTGAGGAGACAAACGAGAATCTAATATAAGGCCTAAAAATTGAGTTTCGTCTGTGCATAGCAATTCTTCCTCGCCCAAGACAATAGGGGCGTAGGGAATTGTTCTTTTCCGAGAAAAAACCAGTACATTACTTTTGGATGGGGCTAAGGATAAACCATGTTCAGTTAAGTTGAATAGAGCAGTCTTGAACAGAGTCTGATGCGGAATATTAGAGCTATTGCACGATGTCACAGAAGCTCTCAACACATTTTTCTAGGTCGGCTGTATAGAAGTTATAGAGGGTGGGGCTTAGTACTGATCCTTGAGGGAGCCCTCTCCAAACCATTTTGGGTGGAAGAAGACAACCCTGAAGGCGAACTGAGATGGAGCGTGCAGAAAGCATGTTAAATATGACATTGATCATCCTCACACGAAGACTCAGCTGATACATTTTCTGCCTGAGTAGCGGAAGAAGTACAGAGTCATAGGCTGATGTGACATCAAGAAATACACCGACCATATCTTGCTTTCTAGAGAAGGCGAGGCGAGCATCCGAAATGAATATACTAAGATTGTCCATGGTACCCATGCCCTTCCGGAATCCGTACTGTGTTTTTCCTAAAATATTATTATGTTCAAGTATCCATTCGAGTCTATTTTTAATGAGTAGCTCCATGATTTTAGCTAGCACCGAGGATAGGGCAATAGGTCTATAAGAAAACGGATCGTTAGGATTTTTATTTGGTTTTAAAATTGGGATAATTATTTGGTGCTTCCAGGAGTCAGGAATTATGCCTGAATCATAAATTTTGTTAAGGAGAACCAGAAAAAATACTTTAGAGTTTTGACGAGGAGTCACGTAAATGAGTGAGAACTGAAGATAATTCATTAATGGAAAAAGGGTCATCAATATGATTGTGCAAAGATATTGAGTGAGATAGGGGAACGTTGTTGTTTTCATAAAAATCTTTATCTGGGACAAATGGAGGTGCCAGTCTATCCATGAATTCCTCGATCCAAGCAGAGGAATCTTTTGAAGGTGGCGGGTTATCCGAAAAAGACCCTCTAAATTTTTTTATTTTTTCCACATTAATGATAGTGGTGCTTGTGGAGATATGCTTTCACCAAATGATGTCCACCCTTTACGTTTTTTACTTCTGAAAATTTTTTTGGAACAAACTTTAACTCTTTGAAAGTTTAGGTAGTTGTCAAGGCTTAAATCATTAAGATATGTCTGCTCTGCTTCGTTGCGTTGTCTAATAGCCTGAGTACAATCAGAGTCCCACCAAGGTGGAGAGGATCTATTCCGGCCAGGTGTTTTTTTTTTCAGAGGGATTGATAATTCTGCAGCGGAGAGCAAGGAAGAAACAAATTCATTGTAAAGGTGATCAAAATTTTAACTATCTAGCGGAGGCAATCTTTTTAATTTTGAGTCCAGTATATTGCGGAATCAGGGCCAATCTGCTTTTTCAAGTATAAATTTACGTAGAAGAGGGTAGGGATCAGAAGATATTTGGACCTGATGAGTGAATGAAATGAGGATTGGAAGGTGATCACTTCCATGAGAGCACGCTAAGACGCGCCAGATAGCACTTGTTGAGAGGGATGGGGATACAAGGGAAACGTCGACGGCGCTAGTTGGAGAGGAGAGGTGCGGCGAGTAGGGGAGCCATCATTTAGAAGGCAAAGATTGACGTTATCCATTAAGGCTAAGAATTGGGAAGACAGTGAGTCGCATAAAGAGGATCCCCATAAGGTATGATGGATGTTAAATTCTCCTAGAAGTATAGAAGGGCCCGGGAAAGAGGAGAGGATATTCTCTAAGGAGTCTAGAATACTAGTAGAGGGCTGAGAGATATACACAGAAAAGATATTAATGCCAATGATGCTTACACCTGTAATATAGACGCCGGAGTGTTGAGGTATGGGGATAGAGACATAGGTGAGAGAGCGGTTTACAAGAAGTGCGCAGCCCTGATAGCCATTAGGACCATCATCTCGCAAGCATGCCAATGAAAACCTACAACTTTTTTTTGTTTCTTCAATAGCAAAAACATGTATATTGTAAAGATTATCTAGATTAGTTTATTCAAATTTTTTATTCTGTATACTTCTACTGTTCCACTGGAAAATATTTAGGTCCATTATTAAGGGTTGTATATAGAAATCGGTACAGTATTTCTGTGCCATTGTACGGTAGGATATCGTTAAAACGGGTTAAACAGTTTAGAAGGAGTTTCATTAATAGATCGGCAAAGTTGTCGTTGGCAGACTCTTCATAGTCTGCTTCTGCAGATGCATTGAGAGCACAGCCATTATGTTGGCTGGATTTAGGTGTGCTAGTGATATTTCTATGGGCTTCAGTATCATAGCCATTACCCATAGTTGGTTTCGGAGAGCGTGGAATGTGTAGAGTTTTTTTGTATGATGATACAGATGGGCGGTTAGGGGACTTTATAGTTTTTGAGAGGCGTGGCTCAAAATGCTTCTGGGAAGGGGACATTGGGGAGGAGGTCATAGAGTGAGGTGAGGCTGATCTTAATGTATCAGCAAAGGTGCGACGAATAGGGCGGAATCGGAGGGATGCTTCGGAATATGGGATATTTTCTTCTGCCATGACTAACTTAATTGATTTTTGCCTACTGTGCTCTGGGCAGCTAAAGCTTGTGGCCATATGGGGGCCCGAACAGAATATACATGAAACTTTATCTTCTGGGACTGAGCAAGAGTCACCAGGGTGATTTTGGGTACATTTATAGCATCTTGGCCTTGATCTGCATTGGGCCTTAAGGTGGCCAAAACGACAGCAGGAGTTACACTGTATTGTCGGTAATTGGTAAATTTCCACAGGCAGGGAAGCATTAAAACAGTAAACTTTCTCAGGAAGCTTCTGTCCTATAAATGAGATTACTACTGTCTGAGTAGGGATCCATAAAGTTTCACCGTTTTGGACAGATTTTCTGTTCAGCCTCCTTGCTTTATAAACACGGGAATTAGTCTGGGGACATTCAATATTACAAACTAATTTTTCCATGGACCAGTCAATGGGGATGTTCCGTAATATGCCCTGAGAGTCACATGAAAGGAGGGGATTAATGCACACAACTTTTGGTCATTCAGGATAGGGTTTGTGATGAAATTGTTTGCAGAGTCAGCATCCATGAATTCTACCAAAATTCGATTGCGTCCTGATGACTTTATACCTTCCTTTACAATGCCAGAGACTCTGTTTTTATGTAGAAATTGAGCAAACTTAAGCAGTCTCATAGTAAGACCAGTTGCTGGATCGGGTTCAGTTTTAGATACATGAACAATGAAAGGGGCCATATCTGTTTGAGAGTATATGAGTTTAGAACCTTCCGCAAACTCCGGGATGATATAAGAATGCTGTTTGGAAGCACTTGAAATGACCGATTTTATTTTGGCCGGGATATCAGTCGTCTCAGGACATGTTCTCTTACGAGAAATATGGTCTATCATTTGGCCAGCGCGACCGCCGCCCCCGTCAGGGGGCACATTATCTACGTCCATCTACGCTACAAAACACGCCACAAAACACTTACCAGTATTAGTAAAACACACGCCACGTACAAAAACACACAAAATATTAGTCAATCAACCGTAATTCGTTTACTTTTATAAGAAAAAATAACCCCGCACGTGTAGTAAACAAGTACCCAACAAGCAGAATCCTATTTAAAATCCTATAATAAAGTCAATAGGTTAGTTTACTAGCTTACTATGACAAATGTTGACTATAATGGGTACCTGCGATTTGGCTTTGATAAATAAAATATTAAGTACCCTATGTAGTCGTTTTTTTATAAATTAGAGGGTAGATACTCCTATTACACATTACTTTGCTATCATCTAGTTTCTGCCTGAGCAGATAAAATCTGAAAGCCAATGGCTTTTAGGATCTTCAGAACTGGTTTAATTAATCATAAATTAGTTTTCTATGGATTTTTATTGTGAATACCTAGTTAATAATATTATATTTCTTTTTTTGTGTTAATACTTTTTACTTTATTTTAGTTTTATGTAATAAAAATTTGGAATGAATAAATGAATGAAATTATACTTTATTAAAATTGACTTATTGAAAGCTCTTTTGAATTGTCCTATATTTTTTCCTACCACTCATTCAGGACATCTTTTAACTGATAAGAAGAATGGGCGCAAGAAACTCGTCAGCAATTAACAGAAGTAACAACAGTTACAAAAAAAAATCATGTCATATCAATCATATTTTCTTAATTGTAGTGGTTGGATTTAAATTATATACTGCAGCAACCACATAACAGTCAGTTGCAATGTTGCAAAATTATTATACACATTTTCACTTAGGTAATTATATCTGTACTGTAAATTGAACTAATCTTATTATATGCTTCCTAAAATAAATTTGAAGAAAATATAGTGAATTAATTTTATAAAATCGCTGAAATGCATTATATTAAACCTTATAAACCTCTGAAACTATATCAATAGTCTCTGAAACTATAAAAATTTTAGAGGACTCTATATAATAACCTATCCTGTTTACTTATTTCACTAGAATGCCAATCCAGGCGCCTCAGTGGACGGATTATCTCAACTGTCCGGTGTGTTGCCGCGAGTTCGGCGCACCACCGCGGAGCCCTATCAGCCTCGGCTGCGGCCACACACTCTGTAGACACTGCCTCAAACACCTGCATCGGAAACAATGCCCCTTCGACCAGGTATGACATTTATTTGTTCAGAAACAAGATTTTTTCATTGGTCTCTTGTAAATAAAAATAAAAAAACCAAGCAACTAAAAAAAAATTGCCTTTATTCTCTGACCAAAGTCTAACTTATAAATGTAAATCTTATTCGCCAACATGAGCACCTGTACTGTTTGTAGTTGTAGGTGTAGGTTGTCTTAAGACAAAGGTCTCCTCCAGTATGGCCGATTCCATCCTGTGCCTGGCTGTTCTACTCCCAACGTTTGGGTAGGTTGTCCTCCCATTGCTTCACTTATCTTTCACTTCTTCGTTTTCCATCTGGGGGGTACCATTATGTGAAATCTTTTGTCCATTTACCGGTGGTGGAAATAAACATGTGCCCAGTCTAGTTCCACTTCAGTATTCTCACTATAAGGGTTACATCAACTACTTTTGTTCTTTCCCTTATTTTGTCCAGTTCCATCCTGTCCCTAAGTTTAACACCTAGTATACTCCCCTCAATCCCCTGTTGACATACTTTGAGTCTCTGTGTTGTGTGGTTTGAAAATGACCAAAGCTGAGTACTGAAACTATGCAGGTATCAAATACTTTCCTTTTTTGCGAAATAGGAATAGATAAGTTAGTACATACCGTCATGTTAAGAAAATGTGATGGATTATGTATTATTTTATAATAGAATAACTTTTCTTTCATAATACGCCTATATTTATATTACTGCTTGTTTATTTACGTTGCCATTTATTGACACTGCCTCAAAGACAAAAACAGGAAGCTGCTGACAGTGAGTGAAGACGTAACTAAAATGTTTGGATGATTATTATAAGCACCTAATAAATGAGGAGGTTCCTAGACAAGGTCTGATACAGCTTGCAACAGTTGTAAGGACCGATAGAGAGCGTTAGCCTTGAGGAGGTAAAAAGCGCAGTGAAAAGGATGAATGTACTCAAAATAGTAGGTCCTGTAGATGTATCCGCCGATTTGTAAGAACTCATAGTAAGTATTTTTGTCGCATCGGTGACATGTCAAAACGTTATGTATCGCGCCGCGGAAACGATCTCGTCTTGCCCACACCGAATCTCACGGTCTTTTAAAATAGCGTCAATACATGGCAATTAAAGTATAAAATCATTTGCCTAATATCTTAAAGACCCTCCAGGGTAAAAAGTTTGAGCCTGCACTAAAGAATTTATTACTATGTAAGTCATTTTATACAATTAATGAATATTTTAGTGGAAAGTTTAAAATTTTTGACATTTGCATTATATTTTGAACAATTGGATTATTTTTTAAAATATGTTATACAAGATTGAAAATTTGTTATGTTTGAACGTTTTATAATTATGACTATGTCTACCTATTTAGTATTAAGTTTTAAATTTTGACATTTGCATTATATTTTGGACAATTGAAATTAATTTTTAAATGATTGATTGAAAATTTGTTATGTTGGAACGTTTTATAATTATGACTGTAGATTCTATCTATTTAGTTTAGGATTATTGCAATACCCTAACTGGGTTCTTGTTTGGAATGATATATATACCTAGTCAGGTCATAAATTCTGTCACATGTTTAATGTAAAATAATTGAAACAAGTTTATTCATTATGTAACCATTTATATACCAAAATGAACTTAACAAAACATAGATTCTTATGACAATAAAGTTTATTCAAAATGACCTTCGTAATTTTGAATACAGGCCTTACGACTGCGCGGCCAGTCGTCTATCGCAGCACGAACGAGGTCCATGTCAATATCGGCTGCTGCCTTAATCAAGGATGTCTTGAGTGACTCCAAATTGGGATGAGGCTTTGAGCACGCCTTTTCCTCCAAATGTTGCCATATCTTGTAATGTAACGGACTCAAATCTGGACTGGAGGAGGGCCAGTCTTCGTTCCGGATGAAGTCGATTTCACGCTCGATTTCAGAATTGTGTGCTCTTCGGTCTATGAGCTAGCGCCGAATCTTGTTGGAATACCCAGTGCCTGTTTTTGAACATGATATGAGAAACAGGTTCCACAAGGTTCGTCAGGACTGTATTTTGATACACAATTGCATTCGTTTTTACACCTTTTTCTCAAAAATGTACCTCTGTTAAGCCCCAATAAGAAACTCCCAACCATACCATAAGCGAGGATGGAAAATGACCTCGTTGGACACGCGGAATACGGTTGCTGGCTTCTTCACTGTTGTGTGTGTACACCTTATCATTTTGTTTGTTGTAGCTCTTTTCTACGGTAAAATTTTTTTCATCCGAAAAAAGAATTTACCGATATTTTTTTCCCACGTACCGCTTCAACAAAGCGCGGCATCTCTTCAGTCTCAGGTCCATTAGACGAACATTCAAACGATGTCCTGTTTTTCTTCGATATGCCCGAAGTCCTAAGTCTTCATTTAACACCCTTTTCACCGTGGTTCTGCTTAACCCCATCTGAAGGGCCAACAGTTTCTGCTTACGTTTGGGATTTCTTTTAATTCGCGCCTTCACAGCTTTTATCACTGCTGGAGTCCTAACAGACCGAGGGCGAACACTTCTTGCCCTGTCATCTACACTAGAGTCTTCATTGTATCGTTTGATGGTACGATAAACGAATCTTTTGGTTAATTTCAAATTTTTCAGTATGTCAAAAATTTGAATTGGTGCGTGACCGCAACGATGCAACGCAATAACTGCAACACTTTCTTTAAGCGTCCACTCCATATTTAAAAATGAGTAAAATTTTAAAAAGTACACCTGCTTATTTTCATGAACAAGTCGAAATTTGAATTCAATAAACTTTTTTGTGGCCATCATTCTAAAAGAAAAGTTTTTACTGTGTGACAATACTTATGGCCTGACTGTGTATATATATTTGTAACAGCATGTAAACAGCAAGAATGCAATAAATGAATATGAATATGCGTGTGGAAATTACTTGGTCCCCTAGAATTGTAATGGCTTATACAACTTTGTTATATCATACTCACAAGTGGTAAAATAGCAAATTTATGGCGCATCAGCCACTTAGTCCCTTTTTTTAAAAACAAGGGTGACTGCAGTAATTATAGGAGTATAAAGTTAACATCGCATACATTAAAATTTTGGGAACCAATAGTAAATAACCATATACAGAACCTCGCATGTATAAGCCGAAACCAATTTTGCATCACACACTGAAAGTCAACAACAGACGCGATACAAGCCATAACAGTGCTAATGGAAAAACATCTCTTAAACAAGTAGGATTTGCACATCACTTTCATTGACCACGAAAAGGCATTTCATAGGGTGCCGCGTGGATTGGTGTGGCAAGCTTTGAGAGCACAATATTTGCCTGACATTTACGTGCATTTTGTACAGGATATGTACAGTAACGTGCGGACAAGAGACAGAAGCGCTACCGGTTTGAGTGATGAATTCGAGATGAAGGTGAGAGTTCATCAGGGCTCTGCCTTGAGCCATCTACTTTTTAACTTGGTCATGGACTTCATTACTAAATAAGTGCAGGCCCCTTTGCCTACAAGCAAACTTAATCTCTTAGATTGAAGTACTGGAAATTATGGGCCTCAGAGTTAGTCGATCTAAGATAAAGCACTTAATCCACTATCCTGATAATACAGCCGTACCGAAAATAACACAATTTAATTACCTAGGCTCGGTTGTTTTACGAAACGGAGTACTTAGTAGAGGCAGATGTGGTGCATAGAGTAAATGTAGCATGCCAAAAGTGGCGATCTCTAACAGGTGTTTCATGTTAACCCTGTCTGCCTGTAGGCACCAAAGGCAAAGTCCATAAGACGACAGTGAGACCGACGATATTGTACGGGGCAGAATGTTGGCCAGAAAAGAAAATCATTTCCAGAATCTCTATACCACTTAGATGAAAATGTTGAGGTGATCTGGCGGCGTGACAAGATTAGACTGAATCCGAAACGAACATCTCTGGGGTAGTTTCAAAGTTGCTCCCATATCTGAAAAACTTACTGAAAGCCGTCTGCGGTGGTATGGCCACGTAATGCGACGAGACGAGGAACATGTGGTCAAAAAGGCTTAATTGCTTCCTGCTCATAGAAGTGGCAGGGCGTGCCCTCCCGCTATCTGGTGGACCCGTCAACCCCAGATAGAGAGTCTTAGCGCCTTAAAATGAGGAGAACCTACCCCACATAAAGTGGGAAGGAGCAAGAATGAAGAAAAAGTTTACGTTGCCATTTATACGTAGTCCGCTTAACAGTGTCCTCGCCTGCGGGGCAAAAGGTGTGAGAAGTTTTTTTGGTTTGTTTTTCAATATATTTTTTTAAGTTTCATGTAAAATTCATTCAAAGCTTTGAATTATTTTGGACTATTTAGCTCTGATGTATTGTGTATTTTATTTAAATACTAAAAGTTTTACTTTTTCAGTCATTCTGTCTAGAGCTTAATGGTTTTGCTTTCAATGTCTATTTAATTTAGACTGTGATCCAAATGGAGCCCGAGGATCTTGTGGTGAACACGGCTCTGCTCCAGCTGGCCGGGTACACGCCGCCCGTTCAACCGTACCACCCGCCCTGCATTCAAGCGCTGACGGACTACGACAGGCAGTCATATGACGTTATAGTGCGATGCATGGAAAACCTAGCCGTCTTCCTCAAGTACAGTGGCACTGGTAAGTGTTTTCTTTTTCACAAACTACTCTAGATAAAAATATATGGATTCCCTTCCATAATTTTTTACATCGCTTTTATTTACTTATGACGATAAAACCGAGTCTATGAACACGAAAAAGATTTTAATTTAGTTTTAAAAATGGTTATTTTAAGCATTTCTTATAATTTTTAGTCTGAAAATACAGGGAAAAATGTCTTGTAAACTATTATGTGAAGGCGCCAGATTTTAAAATTCGCCCCTGTTTATGGCCTACCTGTGTTTACCCCGTTTCCCGTTCTTAAATGCACCTCTGGCTACAGTCTGGCAAGTTCATGGGTGTAAAAGTATGAATTGTGAGTAGATGAAACTTCACACTTGCAGTTCTCTTAACCCAGTTGGGATTGAAATCAAATTTGAGTTTGCAAAAAGTAGAAATGTTTTTAAAATGAAACATTTATTACTTCGACACAAACTTTTTTGTTAATCTTTAGCTTGTCGCATTTAATTTTAAAATGAACAAGCAGCGGTGGTTCAGTGATAGAAAGCGCGCCTGCCACACGGGCGGCCTGCGTTCGATTCCCAGCGTAGAATGAACCATTTATCATTTTGTATCAATTCCTAAGGCTCCACACGCATTTATTGTTGGTAACATATTCAGTTAAATGTCTACGAACTTTAAAGTTTTAATTGCTTCAAGGTTACATAAAACCACAGTTTTTTTTAATATTCTGTATTTCAATTTGGTTGTGTGTGTTTGGGTAGTTTTACTTTATTTAATGAGTCATAGTAACGAGAGTTAATAAGACAAACTACCACTCTTAGCCCAAGGCTGCTTAGGATGCTGCCAAGGGAAGAAATGGAGCATTCAAAGAAAGATAGAAAGAAAGAGGGACGCAAGGTTGAAAAAGAACTATTGAGAGAAAGCAGAATTAAGGAGAGGAGATAGGATCGAAGAAAAATGAGTGTGAGAAAGAGTCATATTTTATAACGCATGTATCAGTTTTTGGTCAGGCAAGTAAGTCAAATGAGTGAATTGAGGACTTTGGTCCCTGCCGCCCCTTGGCGACCCGTATTCGTAATGATAGATGTTGACTCAGAAGTATTGAGTCATGAATAAGAAAACTTATATAAAATCAACATGTTGTACGACTTGAATTTAGCAGAAATTCAGTTGACACGAACTGAACTGCTTTGCTTCCTGTTTGTTGACGTAAAGTGAAGTCAATTAGGTGATTGAAATGTGTATATATATATTTTTTATAAATTCTAGACTTTTTGCGTCTCTTCGTAAACTTGCATGGACTTTATAATCCTACAAATAAAAAAAAACAAGCAAAAGTAGAAAGTTTCTATGTTTGTTACTCAATAAAGTCACGTTAGGAATGGATAGTTGGTAAGCATTAATGTTGACGGTGTTGACAAGTAGGGATATTATTTTACCGACTTCAAAAAGGATCTCAATTCGGTCGTTATGTTTTTTATTTATGTATGATTACTTGATTCTTTTTTTGTCCGATGCGGAATATTTGCCATTTAATCTTATAAAATTAGTCCAGTAGTTTTTATTTTATAAACGTTTTTGCTTACTTTTCACGATACTTTGTTTATATGCACTTCGGTTACTTTAACATTTCTGATCAGATTTGAGTGATTATTTTTTGTTCGAGGGGAGGGAGATACTTTCCGTTTGATCTCATAAAAAATTTTTGTTTGACTCAGTAGTTTTCATTTTATAGAAATTTTTGTTAATTATTTATTTAGACGATGTAATTTTCACTACAATGGATAAATAAAAATGATTTCCAAACAAATAATGAATATCGGAAATGGATATAAATACAACGAAAAAAATCCATTTCATGATTTGGAAGTCTGGCGGGGCCTCGAGTGAAACATGAAATTCATTTGCATTCCTCGCCGATATACCAACGCGTTTTAATCTTGACCCCGCCCGAATTCAAAATCCTGAACCGGATACTTTATTATACTTTTTAGTTCATTTTCGAATCTGAATCTAGTTTTCATATTCTGTTAAAAAAACATGTAAACCCGGCATACTTTATATGATTGGTGCAGCGAACAACAGCGCGGTGGGCAGTCGACTGTCCCGGCCGATGCAGCGCAAGTTGGTGACCCTGCTTCAGTGCGCCATGACCGATGAGGAGGGCAGAGGAAGAGCGGCGAGGGCGGCTCGCTCGCTCGGAGAGAGGACCGTCACTGAGCTTATATTGCAGCACCAGGTATCATATGCTTCGATCAAGTTTTCTGGCCAGTGCCCATAGCATGAGCACCACAATTTACAATATACCGCTGCTTTATCATGTCTAACTGTCAAATTCCATGGTAATTTGACAATTGAGCTTGATAAAAACGAGCTTTAAACCATATTGCGGTGCTCATGGTAGGGGGGCTGGTCTGCAGTCTGCACAATATCTAGCTATCTTCACAACTGTATTCCACTTACGTTTCAGTAGGGTGAGGTAATTTGTTGTACCTTAATAAAACCCTCATATTTATATTGCTCTGACTTGTTTGAGTTAGAGTTGAGAATCCAATTCGACAGGAAGATAGACTAAGAGAATGATTAACGTTAACTGTCAAACTGTAAAATAAAAAAAGTTATCGTGAGAGAGAAGAAGCGATCGGAGTGCATATATACTGGCCTGCAAAACTAGGTATCACACTTTTAAAATTTGCAATAATTTTTTAAGTACTCAAGATCAAAATAAAAAGGACTCGAAAAAGAGTTGAATTTTGTAGTATAGTTTTAAAGAAAGTTGAAAAGATTGGCTTTGAAACGTTTTTTATTTTTGATCTCTAACTGCGAAAGTTTAGAAAGAAAAAAATGTTAAAATGTGATACTTAGTTTTTCAGGCCAGTGTAGTTCGTTTATGTATTTGTTCTTAATTTTTTCTTTTCAGGAGAGTTTAGAATATCATGCCTAGTCTCGCTAAGTTCATACTCCGCGCCTTTAAAAAAGTATCATTTACTTAGCTCTGACTTGGTCGATTTAATTGAGAATCCAATTTGAATTTGATTGTATTATTAGATAGCTATTCATCCCTGCTATTTGTAAACTTGACAGCAGCCTCTATTTCTTACTCCCTATTGAGCATACACGAAAAGTTATAGTGAGGTGCCAGTATTAGATGTGCTGAATTTCTTTTACTGCTTCAGCTTTAAACTTCTTGAGCAAAGGCCATGAACAAGGGAGTCTGCACAGTAGCAATTTTACATATTAAAACGTCAACTGCGCAAGTTTGTCTGTGGTTTTGATTAAGAAGTTTGCGGCTACCTGTGAGTCACTGGATCGATGTTCCGTTTTTAGAATCCTCAGCAGTTGAGCGCAAACTTGTGGGCGGCGGTGAGAGCGCGCGGTTGTCAGTTCCTTGGACCGGCGATGCAGGAGGAGGTCCTGAAACTCGTTCTTCTTGCGTTGGAGGACGGGTCTGCCTTGTCGAGAAAGGTGATCCGCTTTTCTTTCATTTTCTAAACTTAGGGTTTGCGTACACATCCTCCAGAGAGGAGCTCGATGGCGCAGGTGGTTAGCGCGTTCGGCTGCGATCATTGAAGTTAAGCAACTTTCGCAATGGTCGGTCATTGGATGGGTGACCAAAAATATCTTCTATCTCGAGTTCCTCCGTGCTTCGGAAGGCACGTTAAGCCGTTGGTCCCGGCTGCATCTGCAGTCTTCAGCACCCGCCAATCCGCACTGGGCCTGCGTGGTGGGTCATGGCCCATTCTCCCTATTACATCCATAGGGAAGGCCTGTGCCCCAGCAGTGGAGACATTAATAGGCTGATGATGATGACATATCCTAATTCTACTAATATTATAAATGTGAAAGTTTGTATGTTTGTTTCTTAATCACGCAAGAACTATTGAACGGATATACTGGATATGGATAAAATTTGGTACGCATATAGTTTATGATCTGAACTGGGACAATTTTTTATCCCGGCAAAATGTACGGTTCTTGTGGGATTCTCAAAAAAATCAAAGTTATCGCGGACGAAGTCGCGAGTGGCCGCTAGTTCTCTATAAGTCTCCTACGCCCGCAATCCAATCAATGTTTAATATATAAAAATAGACAGTATGACTAAAGTAAGCATTTTGATTCAATTTATATCTCTAAATATTGGTATTAGTAATTTTAAATATATACTACTTAAATAAAGACCTTTTATATATTTTTTACATTAGACTGGTCTTTTTTTAACCACACGGCATAACTTCTTACCTGTACCACTTATAATTTCCATTTATATACTTCCAAACTTCTATACTTAGGTGAAATAAAATGTACATATATTCACTTTTATATTTCTGTTTTCGACAGGTGTTAGTGATGTTTGTAGTCCAAAGATTAGAGCCACACTTCCCACAAGCATCTAAGACTAGTATAGGCCACGTCGTACAGCTCCTGTACAGAGCTTCCTGTTTTAAGGTAACTATCAATCTTTGTGGCTGTTGTGAAGTTAGAAACGAGCGCACTTACGTGCTCATTCGCATCTAAATTTCGTTTACTTAACTTCGCAGTCGTCATTAAGTTTGTTTTGTAATCTATTTTTGACTAGTGCTATATTTTATTAATTAATTTAAATGGTCCGTCTGATGGTAAGTGTCTACTATAGTCTGTAAAGCTGGCTTTACTAGGATACATCACTCGCTCGTTATTTATCTCACCCTCCAACCCCATTATCGCCTTGGAGTGTATAAAACAGCAAGATCGGAAAATGCTAGAATGACCAAGATGAAGTATAACTTTAGGGTTACCCTAAGGAAGGGCGACGAAGAAGGCATCTAAAAATTAAGTGTTTTGATGCACTAGCCATATTTGCATATATATATATGACTTAGTTACTTAAAGGCCAGTAGGTATGCCATTAAACGTATGACATATGGCTTCCGCGCTCAATATTGAAAACACAATACTCGTAACCTGGTCGAAACTTGGGAATAAAGATGGTACGAAAACTTTTAATAAAGTGCGCGTTTTAACCCGTTAAATGTTATATTGAAAAGAAAAATGGTTTCTAGGTATCGAAACGCGAGAGCGACTCCTCGTTGATGCAACTCAAGGACGAGTTCCGCACATACGAGTCACTGAGGCGGGAACACGACGCCCAGATAGTTCAAATAGCCACCGAAGCGGGCCTGAGGATCGCCCCGGACCAGTGGAGCGCCCTGTTGTACGGCGATACGGCGCACAAGAGCCACATGCAGAGCATCATAGATAAACTGCAGACGCCTCAGTCGTTCGCCCAATCGGTGCAAGAATTGTTCATAGTGCTGCAGAGGACCGGCGACCCGGCGCAGTTGGTCATTATGAGCAGGCATCTGGATCGTCTAGCGGGCATCGACGCTAGTCCAGGTAATTTTTTTGCCTAATTTGTCTTAGTTAGTAGCAGGTTCTTTAAAAAGCCACAAAGGCGGGCTTAGGATCACGTTGTTGTACGGGCATCATAGATAAACTACAGACGATTCAGTCGTTCGCCCAATCGGTGCAGGAATTGTTCATAGTGCTGCAGAGGACCGGCGATCCGGCGCAGTAGGTCATTATGAGCAACCTAAACAATAATATAAGCAATCCAAACCTGGATCGTCTAGCGGGCATCGACGCTAGTCCAGGTAATTATTTTTGCCTATTTTTTTTTAGTTAGTAGCAGGTACTTTAAAAAGCCACAAAGGCGGGCTTAGGATCATGTTGTTGTACGAGCATCATAGATAAACTACAGACGATTCAGTCGTTTGCCCAATCGGTGCAGGAATTGTTCATAGTGCTGCAGAGGACCGGCGATCCGGCGCAGTTGGTCATTATGAGCAGGCACCTGGATCGACTAGCGGGAATCGGCGAAAGTCCAGGTAATCTTTCTAAATTTTTTAGCTAGTAGCAGATAGTACAAATTGCCATAGAGGTGGCCTTAAAATGTCATGTCATGCAAGAATCTTTCATTTGAAGAACACTTTAGTACGTTTTTGTTTGTGGAGTGAAGGAAACAGAGGAATCTGGAGTCAGAGAGTTTATTTATAAAAAAAAAAATCATATTGATTACTGCAAAAGAACAAATGGAGCTGGTTCTTAAGCAAAAAGAGCAATGTTATGAAAAATTCCTGACGTCAACGAGTGAGTTTCAATCAATTTCTTGATACTAGTTTGTTTTTGTATTGGTATTTTTATTTACATTTCAACAGTCACTATTCTATATAAACATTTCGACTTTATCTACGTGGCGGATATAAGGTAAAACGCAATTAAGTCGTTTAATAAAAACAGAAACATCTCCATAGCTTTTATTTTGCGTAGAAATATCCGATATCATTGCAGTTATTAAAATTTGACAATGTGTATTGTAATACGATTGATGGTGATTGTGTATGTGTTTGTGTGACAGACGCAAAGAGTCCCACGTGGCAGCAGTTGGCGGAGATCATGTCGTCACTTAAAGAGGCCGTCTCCGGGCTGGTGCACTACCTGCAGCAGCAGGCCACGGGTCGCGACTCCAACCACAACCAGAAGCTGGCGGTACCCGACCGGTCCGTCGACGCGTCCACCAGTGAGTCGTCCGTGTCATTGTATGGATTGTTATCGTCACTGAAGAAGGCCATCTCTGGGGATGTGCACTACCTGCAGCAGAAGGCCATGGGCCGTGACTCCAACCACAACAAGAAACTGGCGCTGCCCGACCGGTCCGTCGACGCGTCCACCGGTGAGTCGACCGTGTCATTGTATGGATTGTTATCCCCACTGAAGAAGGCCATCTCCGGGCTGGTGCACTACCTGCAGCATCAGGCCACGGGCCGTGACTCCAACCACAACCAGAAGGTGGCGGTGCTCGACCGGTCCGTCGACGCATCTACCGGTGAATCAACCCTGTCATTATATGGACTGTTATCGGCACTATAGGAGACCATCTCTGGGCTTGTGCACTACCTGCAGCAGCAGACCACGGGCCGCGACTCCAACCACAACTGGTTGTGGTTCGGAGCCTGTGGAGGCTGGCGGTGCCCGACGAAGCGTCCACCGGTGAGTTGACCGTGTCATTACATGGATTGTTATCGTCACTGAAGGAGGCCGTCTCGGGGCCGGCACACTACCTGTAGGATCCTACATCTCAATCCAGTTAATAAATTATATGTGTGCCAAATATCATCCATATCCGTTTAGCTGTTTTTGCGTGATTCGGTAAAAAACAGAACCACATTTTAAATATTAGAAGGATACTGAATCTTCTAATCTTTCGCATAGAGAATGGACTCAGTGACACTTGCCAGAAGTTCACAACCCTGTATAAAAACAGTTAAAATAGCCAGTGTTTGTATGAACTCTGGGACCTTCCGATCGGTTCGTCTCTCTTTCTAATTAGTTATACTTTACAGTTGGAAAGGAAATGCCCAAAGGAAATGTATGAAATAGAAAAATACAGAGATTGGACTAATCTCTGTCTTTGCTATTTCTTACAGTCCATTTAATTAGTTTCAGGTGATTTTTTTCTATTCTTGGATATAACATATATTATTTCCTGAATATTTTTATCCAATCAAAAAGGAAAATCATCCTTATTAGCCAACAAATTAGAAATAATATGGAATACGAACTGCGCTTAAGTGGTTACACGCAAACTGCGATCAGGTGGGCGGGACAAAGAAAATGCGTACAACACGACGATCATGGGATTGTTTGGGATTTCCGTTTCACATTATCTTACCCAATGAATGGATAGCCGAATTTGTTTGCAGATATTTGATTTGTCAAAGTATTTTGTTTTGTCTGGGTGCATGTGGTGTTAGTATTGAAGTCACCTGAATATGTCGTCTCTATGTCGTCATGTATAGGTTAAATATAAAACGGTTAATAATAAAAAAATACAGTATTGAAATTTAGCTGTATGAGTTTGGAACCATTGCTAGAGAGTAATGCTTCATGCTATAATTTCTAATTAGTTGGCAGCAGCAAGCAACGAGTTTCGTTATCTCCATATAATACGTTTGTGTCTTTTCCTTTTTTTTTGAGTGTTTTCTGTTAGTCGCATATGAGCTTTAACGAGATCCTAAGGGGTCCTCAAGCCGAGAATTGGCGAGTACCTCTAGACCACTCAAACCTGAGGGGGTCGGCTCAACTAGAGGGCGCCTCTGAGACTCGGACCTATGCTCTAGTTAACCGATGTCTCGTATTTTTTCCGATGCGATGCCTGCCGTTTGTTGATAACATTTTTCTATCGCGATTCAGGTCAGCCCAGTCCTCAAACGGCTGCGTCTACACCAACCCACAACAAGTACAAGGTGTCTATGTGCCGGGACGCGGCCGCGCGGTCATTCTGTCCCAGGGGAAATTCCTGCACCTTCGCCCACTCAGAGGAGGAAATGGAAAGGTAAACAACCATAGAAATAAAATAAAAAATTGATAATGCACGGGTCAGATTTAGAACCTGCTCCTTTTTGAAGTCGGTTAAAAAGCAAACGTGAATGTCGTGAAACACTCGGCTGGAACGAACTTAAAATAAGCATAAAGAGCCCCGAGACGGTCAAACGGTTTGATTCAAACCTTATCCGCCTTATTAATAAACGAGGAATAAGTATAGACTAGTTACCCTGTATTTTGTTCATGTCACTCAAATGCCATTTGTCATTCAATAGACAGAGACAAAACATGGAGTAGCTAGTCCAAGCTAAGTCTTCGTTTAATAATTACGGGGTATGTGTTTGTTGTCGGTTTGCTTAGTCGAAGACGGTTGTCAAACAGCTTTGCGGAGTTTGGTTCGGTACGCCACCGTAATTAGACTTGTGATTGTGACCCAGATAATTTGTGAGATACCCTCAAACAAGGATCGTAATTTCCCTAATTTATTATATCCCTAAAAGAGGAAAAGAAAAAAAAAACGTTTCATCAAAGACGCTCCAACCACGTTAATGTTTGACAAACCGTGACTAGTAAACGATCGAAATTGTTTAAGGCAAACCAAAATTTACTTGTTTGAATCAAACCGTTTCGTCTTCCCGTCGTCGTCTCGTATCGTCTAGTCTAGGGGAATTAACTTTAAGTACACAACTGCAACAACGGCAACGGCAGTGGCTGAATATAAATGGGTCTTAGGAATACATGATCCGGTTACACGGATATGTTTAATTTCGAACTGGGCCTAATCGTGTAACTTTAACTGGTTGTGATCTCTTTTATTTGACATTTGGAAAAAAAAGAGCTAATACTGGTGCGATTACACTTGTTCGTTAGCCCGAATACGATTGCCAATGAAATTCGGGTAAAAGACAAAGTGTAAATGAAGGGAGTCGAGTACGCCCGTATTCGGGTACTTTTCATTTTGGTTGCCCGACACCATATTCCAGTGTATATTTCGGGTGCCCAAATTTGAGTAATGTCTATCGCGCACCCGAATAGGGGCTAACCGACCAAATGTAATTAAGTCATAAGTACGGTGTGTTATTAACAAGGCTTACATATTGATTAAAATATGTATGACATGACATTGTAATAATCTACCAAAATAAATATATTTTTTATGGATACTTACTTTAACTTTGAAGGGGATCGCGGAAACAGTTAAACTTAGACAATTACCCCTATACACATTTTGAAGAGAACTCAGCATTAAAATAAATTAACCTTAAATATTGAGAATATTGGTTTTACATAATTTAAATTAGTTTTGTATGTCGATTTTTTTGAATTTTCTTTGTGATGTTGTTTTGCTGTGTAATTAAGTTACACATTATTTTATACCAAATCTGCTCTGCGAATATGCAAATGTTTTAATGACATCGTAATATTATATTCAATTTAAGTAGACAAAGCCCTAGCGAATTTTATATGTATGGTACTGTACGAGAGTTCCTCTGCGTTGAATAAGCAGTAAGAACTGATTATTCTATATTAATTACTTAGCCTCTGGTTGTGGTTGGAGTCGCGGCCCGTGGTCTGCTGCTGCAGGTAGTGTACTTATAGAAAATAAGCATGGATTTAAATGCTACAAAGCTGAAGCAAATCAATTATTCTATGTATAGACGGTTGTGAAATTATGGATTTCGTTACCTACTATGTACACGCCTCCTCCTCGCTGCTATTTAAGGACCTGAAGTAATTAATAAACTTATTTGATTGTGCATCCATGCGAATAGTTATTTGGAAGAAAATCCGTTCTTTGCGCAAGGCCAGATCCAGGGGGGGTCATGACAGATATGATGATGTGGGCTGTGTACAGACGGACCCTATCCTTGTATCTTTTATTAACAAAATTTAATTAAAACTTCATATGACTTGACCACAACTATATTCTTATTTCTTCTCGTTATTCACTCAACATTTAATGGTGTTAGACTCTGGCTCTCAATTATAATTTTACCAAAACGAGTGTTCTGTTCTATAATAAAAAGTGACCGCTAAGCAAGCTGTCTTTTTTTAATTATGATCCAAATCCAGCCAATTGCGAATGTGGCATTGCGAACATTAAGTGTCTATGCTTGTAAGCGAAGCGAAAGAGCGTTAGATTTGCTGACATAGAATTTTTAGTATGTGACTTCATACACTTATTACAATAGGGTATATGAGAACTTTTAAAAAACGATCTCTCGTTATTTACTAATTTATTTAGTTTATGGGAGTCCATAAAAAGTGAATATTTTTAAGAAATTAAATACTCATTGAATCTAATATATAAAATTCTCGTGTCGCGGTGTTTGTGGTTAAACTCCTCCGAAACGGCTTTCCCGATTCTCATGAAATTTTGTGTGCATATTGGGTAGGTCTAAGAATCGGACAACATCTATTTTTCATCACCCTAAATGTTAAGGGTAATCCACCCCTATTTTTTTTTAATTTTAGTTTTTTTTTAATTTTTTTATGATACATCATACAAAAATACATACAACCCTAAATTTTCACCCTTCTACTACCAACCCCTATTTTTTATGGCGGTACGAAGTTTGCTGGGACAGCTATTAATATATAAAGTTTAAAAATACAACTTTTAAGGTTATGTATATACCAACTAAGTCAAAGGGTTTTGTCGTTTCTGCTTTCACAAATCCGGCGTCCGGAATAAATTAAGTTAACAAAACCAATAAACGAATACATTACTACAAGATCTAAGAGTTTTTAGTTAGTTAGTTCAAGAGTGCTGGACATTTACCAGCATTTCTCTATATTCTGTTATTTATTTAATTTTCTTGTATTTCTCCGATTTTATATATTTTTAGGCATAAATTATTTTCTTTATTTTCTTGACATTGTGACACTTTAATGTTTTTTATCCGTTGCCATGGCTACCCATGACACGGATACTCTCTGCAACTACGTCTATGCCTATTCAACCTCCACAGACCACCTACTCCTCCTCTAGCTATTGCTCAAAAACGTCAATACTTTAAAAACCTTACCATGTCAACACCCTTCAAAAAGACGTTTTCTGCGTTCGTTGTCGACAACATGGACACGAACTTAAAACTTGCTCTCAACCTCGCTTCATCATTTGTTTCAAGTGCGGTCTAAAAGGCTTTAAATCTGCAGACTGTCCTAAATATAACTCTAAACCTAGTTCTAGTTCAAAAAACTAATTATTGACTTGAAAAGCTCTCCTTAATTCGACATTAACGATTGGAATATTTGGCTTTCAACACTTAAAAAATTCTTTTCTTGCTATAAAATCTCTTCTACATTCTACTCTAATGAGAGAGATTCCAAACGCCCTTTCATTAATGTTCGAATTAACAATTTAAACATGTCTGGTCTTCTGGACTCTGGTAGTTTAGTTACCATTTTCGGCAATAATTCCTATCTAGAAATTCTCAAACTTGGCTTCAAGCTTTTCAAGTCAGATTGCATTTCTATCTTAACTGCTAGCTAACAAAGAATTAAATCATTGGGCTATTTCGAAGTACCAATGTTCTTCAATGAGCAGACACATATAATTAAAGCTTATGCTTTTCCTGAACCTTACCTTCCCTTATCCTTGGCATTGATTTTTGGAACAAATTTAATTTGCTACCTTCTTTACTATCTTCAGCTGGTCTCTCAATCCTCAAATGCTCATCTATTCAGAACGATGACAAAAAAGTACTTCCTTATGACCATCTTACTAAAGATCAGAAGGAAATAGCCGATAGCATTATCAATCGCTTCAAAGGTATCTCATTTGAGGAAAAAGGAGTACTGGGACGTACTCATCTGATAACTCACAAAATCGACACTGGCGATTCCCTTCCTATCAAACAAAGATGCTATAGATTATCCCCTGAAAAACAAAAAGCATTAATCAATGAGGTGGATTAAATGCTTGAATGGGCCGTAATTGGACCCTGTGAAAGCCCTTGGTTATCCCCAGTGATTATTACTCCCAAGAAAAATGGTGAATGGCGTTTCTGCGTCGACAGCAGGAAACTGAACTCTGTTACTCGTCGTGACGCATATAACCTTCCCCTTATAAGCGAGATCTTGGATAACCTTAGGAATGCCAAATACCGGTCTAGTACTGACATTGCCAAAGCTTTTTGGGAGACTCCACTCAACCCGGCAGACAAAGACAAGACTGCATTCTACCTTCCAAGCAGAGGAATGTACAGATTCAAAGTAATGCCCTTCGGTTTAACTAATTCCCCTGCTACCCAACAGAGACTTATGGACATGTTATTTACCCCTGATTTTGACAGCAAAGTCTTCGGTTATCTCGATGATATTGTCGTAATAAGTGAAACATTCGACGAGCATATCGCTCTGCTTTTAAAAGTCTATGAAAAACTTTCATTTGCGAACTTAAATATAAATTTCGAAAAATCTCAATTCTTTAGAAATAAACTTAAATATCTTGGCTTTATCGTAGATGAAGTTGGACTAAGAGCTGATCCCGACAAAATCCGCTCTATTCTGGAATATCCTACACCATCCTCTAAAAAAGAAGTTCGTAGGTTCATCGGCACCTGTAGTTGGTCCCGAATTTCAGTACTATTGCTGCTCCTCTGAACAAATTAACTTGCTCAGGAGTTAATGCTCCCAAGTTTTCTTGGAACCCTGAAGCCGAAACTGCGTTTCAGAAACTTAAAGAAGCTCTCGTCACTACCCCTGTGCTCGCTTGCCCAGACTTTAACCTACCATTTTCTGTTCATTGCGATGCATCTAACTATGGTATAGGAGCAATGCTTACTCAACTTCAAAACGACAAAGAAGTCGTTATTGCCTACATGAACAAATCGCTTAATAAAAACCAACAAAACTACTCAACTACAGAAAGGGAAACCTTGGCCGTTATAACTGCTCTTGAATACTGGCGTTGCTATCTCGACAATGGTAAACAATTTACCATTTATACTGATCACGCAGCCCTTAAGTGGTTCCTCAATTTATCTAATCTCTCAGGAAGACTTG